TGTGGGGGATGCGGATGGTGGTTTTGGGCTGCTCGTTCCTCTATGTACAACCAACTTCCTCAGTCCCGTGATCCTTCGGTATTCGCTCGCACAAACAATAATTAACATGGACCCTTGAATATTTACGAATGTGCCCTCCCCTTCTTGCCGCTTGTATGGCTATGTGGTCACACGTTGATGAGTTAGGTCACACGTTGATGAGTTACCGCAGGGCTTTTCGAAAGCCAGGATTATGTGGAATCGGCTCTACCTACTCCTGCCAGCAAAAGTCAATTCGGTGCTGATACGCCTGTGAAAATGACTTTTCAGGAATCATGTAGCCTTGAAGCTTAGGGCGTCGCATGGTTTCTCTACATGGCTCCTGAATGTCAGTTTCAGAGACATATATCGTATATGCACTGTCTTGACTTTTGCTAGCAGGCATGGGTTCAGAGCCCAGTTTTTTTCCCGTATAATCCTTTCTTCCGAAGCCCCTAGCACTGTGTTGACTTTTGCTGGCAGGCGGGGCTTCGGAGCCCATTTTTCTGACAAAGTTGGCGGCGTCAGAACGATATCAGCCCTCCCGCCACCCCCACCCCCCTTTGGAAGCAAACTCCTGGAAGCAGCTTAGAATCCAATGCGAAAGCCTCCAAACCAGAAAACCTGCAGAAAAGCACGGTAACTTAGGTGCGTGTATGGAAGTATGCAGTACGACATGCCACCAGGCCTATACATCCCTGGAATAACCCTCAAACCTAAACCATCCTTTACCTAAAGCCTGATCAATCCCCCGGCCAGGCGTCCGAGTTCTTGCTGACCTTGCTGCTGGACGGGCTCAAAACAGAAGTTTAGGGTTTAGGGGGTTGCAGGGTTTTGGGTTTAGGGTTTAGGAAGCTTTTGTAACACAAAACCTTGTAGAGCTTTAAGTTGTTTAGGCGCTTGCAAGGTGCGGGATTTGGGGAGTTCAGGATCGAGTTCGGGGCGTTGTGGGGCTTGAGCACCAGGCACGAGGCTGCTAAAGTTCAATAGGACCCGGGATGCAAGGATTTCGTGGTTGACACTCTTATGGGTTTAGCTTTTTTTGGGTTTTGGGGTTTCAGGGTTTAGGGTTTAGGGTTTTGTGTGTGTGTGTTTACCGGTGTTGCACTTGCTCGAATGGGTCTGTGCCTCATCGCCCAACGTGGGCACCACCCTGTCATGCAACGCATGTCATGAATAATCAAGGGCCCGAAACCTCAAGGGTCAAATCCCAGAACAATAAGGTTTAATAACTTCTTCGCTTAGGGTTTATGGTTTAGGGTACTGTAGGCCCTGCATCACGATCCTCAATCTAGACGCCGAAACACTCTCCTACCTTTCAGGATCCATTTGCGCTGCATTTGGGCCGGGCGCCCGGGTTCGAGGGTTTGAGAACGGCACTGTGAGCCAGGACGCTATAGAACCCAGGGAAGGTTGGGTTTTGAGTTCAGGCCATTCCTCCTGGCGCTCTGCGCATGGCCGCCGTAGGCTGGCGGACCTCTGATTCGTGTGGGGTTTGGGTTTAGGGTTTAGGGTTTAGGGGTGTAGGGGTTAGGGGTTTAGGGTTGAGGGTTTAAGGGTTTAGGGGTTTAGGGGTTTGGGATTTAGGGGTTTGGGGTTTAGGGTTTAGGGTTAAGTTAGGGTTTTAGGGTTTAGGGTTTGGGGGGGCTCTCAGTCTGGCTGCTGTCGTCTGACTGGGATTTTGTAGGCATTGAAGGCTCAAGGCTTCGGGGTTTTTGGTGTTGATCAAGTGTTTGGTTGTAGAATCGCTTTCGATACAATCAACCACGGATATCCGGTGGGAAAGCTATTATGTGTTGGCTCTGCCAGCTGGTTGCAAGCTCTTCGACAGAGGTGTCAAGTACAAGGGATTAAGAAAAAGCCTTGAAGACTGCAGTCGCGACCCTACATCATCCCTTACGCTGTATCTGGACCACGTGCACCCTGGTTATCGCTGCATGTCATATTCAAAGCACATTCTGCTTCACTGTAACCCAATTGCCATGAATGAGCGGTCGCCTCACCCTTTGATTGATGTCAAGCTGTGCAGACCCTAAACCTTCAACCATTGATCCGTCAACGTCCCGAAAACTGAAACCCGATACCCAACCCCAGCTGCTAAGACATGGGTCTGAATACAATCCTTGTAGTTTCGGGTTGTTTAGGGTTAGGGAAGCATGCAAATCCCTATCACAATTCGGAAGGCCCTTCTCCTCAACTCTCACAGCCCGCGCAAACTCCTTCTAAGACCCTATATGAAACCCCTATTCTTCTTATCAAGGCATCTCCTACGCCCTAAACCCCAAACCCCGAGCCTCAACCCCTAAATCTCTAAACTCCTACCTGTGACCCCAAACCCTACAACATAGTAGGTTATGACCCCTTAATCAGAGGGTAGAACCCCCCGAAAACGGTAGGTGTTTGGATCTCCAGGTAAACCCTAAAGCTTAAACGCCTTAAGCCCTAAGCCTCAAGCCCCGAAGAGCCGGAGCCCTTCCCCTAAGGGTCCGTGTACCCAAATAGTATATACCTTGGCCCCAAAGCACCTATATAGGGACTACTTTATGGCCAAAGTATCTACTATTTGGGTACATGGACCCTTAGGGTTCTCGCTTGATCTTGGAGCCTTCGACAGGGTCCTCGAAAGCGCTGCACAGGCCGTTGCAGAGAGGGGGTGCGGAGGCCAAGTAGTTTCAAGGTGCCTGCTTTTATGGTTAAAGGGTTTAAGCTAGGGCTCTTTAGGGTTTAGGGTTCCTTTCAAGGTACCCCCTTTTAGGTTAGGGGATAGGCCCCTAAGTAGTCCCTTTTTGCGGTCTATATTTAGAATCCTATAAGGTAATCCCAAAAAGGAACTACTTAGTGGCCCATCGGTAGGGTTTATGGCTCTTTAGGGCTTAGGGTTCCTTTCAAGGTACCCCCTTTTAGGTTAGGGTTTATGGCCCTTTAGGATTTGGCGCTTTCGGGTTTAGGTTTAGGGCTCCTTGGGGCGACCAGGGGACCCTCATAAGTAGGGGCCCTAGACCCTTATGCGATGTATCCCTGTACCTGGGAATCCAAAAAACTACCGCTTTCGGCTCTATTTAAGGGGTGATAACCTACTATGTTGTAGGGTTTGGGGTCACAGGTATGGCCTATGAACCTTAAGCCCTTTTTAGGGCTTATTTCGTCCTTAAGGTTCAATGCAAGGTACCTATATTGTGATACCTTGCCCCTTTTTAGAGAAGCTACTTTTGTGGTTAGGTAACCTAAAGCAATGACGGAATGTGATTTTCTAGTGATGCATACATGCGTTAGGACCTTTGTGTAAGTATATAGTACTTTCAGGTTCGGGTACACATATGACACACGTGCGGCTGTCCTTGGAAATCTCGTCATATCCAACTACAAGTTCCGTCAGTTACCTCTGCCTCAGTTCCAATTTCCAACCTAGCTGACTACTTGTATCCTCATTCGAGTCAGCTATGCCGGGGGCCGTTCGTCAAGTACCAGGATAGCTGGGCTGTGCCGTAGAGCGGTAGCCTTGAAGACACCCTGACCTCTAAGCAAGTGTCAAAAGGTCACCCTTTGCTGTGCCGTGTGTGCGTTCAGGTGTATACCCAAGGCGTCTCTCAGTTCTGCTGATGGAACTGCTTCATTCAACATGCCGGCTTATCTTCGAGGCGTAGATCAAAACCCTCTACAAGCAGAGAGCCTAAAATGCCCAACTAGGCAAATAAGAGAGCTTCAGGCCCCAACTACGCTTTTTCTAAGTTTTTGGGCCCTCGAGTAGTTGGACCCTTCGGGAATGGAGACGATATCCCAATACCCACTTAGAGCAACCCTTACAGAAGCCTCTGATAAGGGGGAGAGAGAGAGGGAGAGAGAACCCTAAACCCTAAGACCATAAACCCGAAGCCCTCAAACCTAAAGCCCCACACCCTACAACCTAAACCTCCAAACCCTAAAAACCCAAACCCCTAAAATCCAAAACCCCAAACGCTAAAAATCCATGAGGTCCCAAAGAGAGCCCAGGCAACTCCGTGATCTTCTCTCGGGCTTCTGGCGAAGGAATCCAAACGCGGCGGGGGAGCACAGGTCCCGCTTTTCACGGCTCAGGGTTTGGGGTTTAGGGTTTGTATAACGTCTATATATGTATGTATGTCTATATATATATATGTATATTCTGTGTGGCACTTTGGAAAACTTTTTGATTTTCTTTATTTTTCCCAAAGAGGTACCTATTCATAAATGATTTTTGGGGGCCCGAAACTACAACCCGGTTTGTACGTATATAATATAATATGTATGTATGTATATATATATATATATATATCTATCTATCTATCTATCTATCTATCTATCTATATATATATATATATGGAGGGGCCTAAGGAGTCCAGGGTTCTTTTTGGGTGATCTGCTGGTTTTTTTAGCAAAGCAACGCTCTGGAGGGCTCCAGAGTCATGCTTGCATAACCCTATTTAAAGGTTCCATGGGGCTTACCTGGGGATCCAAAAAAACTACCGTTTTGAAATTTCTACCCTCTAACTAAGGGGTCAGAACCGTTACGGTTTAGAGTTTATAGGTCTTAGGGTTTACCTGTGACCTGAGAGACCCTTCCTTTTGTAGGTCATTCAGAATGGCTGAGTTATAGTTACAAGAGCCTAGTTTTACACGAAAGGTCCGTAAATTCCGAGAGGCCTATATTTCCAGGATCGTAGATGGGATGGGATTATTTCAAGGGTGCTTTCAGCTCGGTGCATGTGGTGGAAGGATGCAAAAGCCATGAGTTCTAGGCTCATCAGAGCAATGTAGAGGGGGCTCGGAAACGTCCCAGGTGGCCCGGCTCTTGGAGTGAAGACAAGCACAAGCGTTCCGGTGCATTGAAGCTGTGTGCGAGTGCAGATTGTGATCCGATCAATAGTGACAGTCGATGACAGTTGTGTCGACATCGCTTTTGGGGCCCGAGTGATTTTGAGAAGGGGTTTTCCTGAAGTCTCGTGGCAAAGTTGCCAGGGCTAGCCATGCGGTCGTTGCGTGGGCTTGCAGAGTCATGGGAGTCGACAGATACCATCCGTGCTCGTGTGCGGGCGAGTGGATCCATCTTCCAGAGGGCCGATGGGCTTCCGCATGCAAACGTGAAGCAGTGCGGTGTCTACTCTGATGTTATGAAGCCGTTGGTAAAGATCGTTGTTGGTTGGTGGGCACAGCTCGTGAAGAAGCGGCCAATCTTCACGGTTTTCCAAGCAGAGTGTGAGCATCCAGCACGCAGTGGAGATTTCGAAGAATGTTTGCTTTGTGCATGACTGTTGGCAGACCAGTATAGTGTATGTGTCATGCTCCAAGGCTCTCAAAGTTCTACCGCTTGTGCAAGGTGCACGTGGATATGAGGCAGGTCAAAGCGGAGGCTTGGCTTTGCAAGAAGTATATGGTCCTCCTCAAGCGGAAGAAGCAGCGAAAGCAAGTGCCCCGCTGCCCCAAATTCCGGGCTCTCCTTGTGCTGCTTCCCCGTCCCGACACTTGGCTTCGTGTACTGCCGGTTTGCTTGAGTCCTCAATGCCCCATTTAGTTCTTGCGCTAGATGATTCGTGCAAGGCTGGCCAGTCTGAATCTGGTGGAGAAGATGAGGATGACCATGACAGCCATCATCATTCTGATGCTGGCGATGATGATGATGGCGGTGATGGACCCGAGAATAGGCACGCTGACTCGGCAGGTAGGGCATTAAAATTTCATGCACATTCAGTGAGCCTTGTGTTGCTCCTTGTCGGTATATGGTGGCCTTGACAGGCTCAGTGGATGAAGATTCATCCTTGCGAGACAGTGACGTGGAGCTGTTGACCAGTGACGATGAAGACCAGTCGGCCGATGTGGTGCTGGATGATTCCGCTGCTGTGGAAACATGTGTGGTTTCCCTCGGTTCGGAGCGATCACAGGCTTCAATTGTTGAGCACCTACAGGCTTCGTCTGAAGAGGCAATGGCTTCAAAGCCGTCTCGGGCTTCAAAGCCGTCGGAAGCTTCAGAGCCGTCGGAAGCTTCAGAGCCGTCTCGGGCTTCAGAGCCGTCTGCGCCAAGCAAGGGAAAGCTAAGGCGTTCAGGTCCTCCCCAGAAAGCACATGAGTTCCATGGTGCAGTTTTCGATGTGGATGCTTTGGATGCAACAACCTGCCAAAAATGTGGTCGGAAGGAGACCGACTGCAGGTGCATTCTGGTGAAGCAGCTTCAGCAGAAAATCAGTACATTGAGAAACTATCAGGAGGCTAGGGCGAGGACACAGGGTTTCAAATCATCTACATATGCAACACATGCATTCCATGGCTCATGTACCAAGTATACACTGCATGTGTGTGTGTGTCTGTTTCAAATAGTTTTGCTGTAGTGTTATGATAATAATATAAAGAGGCTGCCTTGTTTCCATCCGACTCTGACACTTGGATGCCTGTAGGAGCCGGGCTATGAAGCTCAAAAAGCCTAAAGACCCGGTCGTGACTTCGTCCGTTCCTGCTCCTGTTGAGGCTTCCAGTTACTCAGGCCCGGGGCTAGATTTAGGATTCATAAGGTATTGGAGCTCAAAATGTTCAGGTATATAAAGTTCCAAGATATCAGTGAAGTATGTGTTGTTAAAGAAGATTTCTGTTTCTTTTGTGGAGATGTGCTAGCTGAGAAAGGCGATGCTGCGATGGCGGCCGTCTCTCCCGATGATGTTGACACCCAGCCCGCGGATGTGGAGGATTTGGAGTCAGCGGCCTCTAGTTGGAAATCAGCTGATGAATTGCTGGAGCAACATTGCCTGGACACGCCCATCTTTGATCAGTTTGCTCTCTTGCCTACATTATGATTTATATAACCTAGCATTACTGCACATAGCTGCTACATCAGTTTGAGAAAACCCAGATAAATAGATTGGCTGTTTCGATGATCAGGTTACCCGCCGCCAGCAGCTCGGGGTGCGGGCGGGTGGAGCTCTGGAAAAGGCTGTGGGTGAGGACGGTGAGGATGCTGAGAAAGCCAAGCCCAAGAATCTCAAGAAGCCTAAAGGCATGAAGCGCCCAGCGGCTTGCACGAAGTCATCGGGCAAGCGAGCTAAAGATTCTGCCGACGTCAAGCCGGGCTCCTTACGATGAGGAGGATGAGTTGCCAGCTCCTACTGAGGTCAAGCCGGGCTCCTTACGGGATCAGGAGGATGAGGTGCCAGCTCCTACTGAGGTCAAGCTGGGCTCCCCGAACGATCAGGAGGATGAAATGCCAGCTCCGATCTCCTCGCACGATCAGGATGAGGTGCCAGCTCCGATGGTGGCCACCAAGCCAAAAGCGAAAGCCAAATCCAAGGCGAAAGCCAAGGCTGGCTCGAAGGCGAAAGCAAAGGCTAGCTCGATGGTGAAGGCCGGCAAGGTGGCTGAGGAGGCCGAGGGCGAGAGTGATGGTGAGCAAGCTGCATCGGATGATGACTTTGACAAGGCCGCGGTGCTTTTCGACCCAAACCCTCTACATGCAGCATTCTACAAAGGACCGGAAGATGTGCCTTTCCCCCCCTCTTCGGCCGAAGAGGATTCCGAGCCTGAGGCTGTGCCAGAGGCCACAGGCAAAGGCCGTGGTCGTGGCCGGGGCGGCCGTGGCAGAGGCCGAGGCAAGGCTGGTGGTGTCAAGGACGTGGCGGCGCCGGACGCTGCGCCGAAGCGTGGCAAGGGTGGCAAGGGAAAGCGGATTGCGCATGCTGAGGGGGAGAGAGTGACGTTTGCGAAAAGGCCAATGCCCCAGACTCAGTCGAGCATGAATCTGAAAAGGTTCCTTGGCATTCGTGATGCATTCAACGACATCATTCGCCCTCGAGTATCGGAGGCACCATCGAAACAGGAGGACCTTATCGGGTTATGTTTTGCACTGCTAGCTAGGTATTGCTTTCCCACTTAGATTGTTGTTAACCTCATGGGACTTTATGCAGTGTGATTTATAGTTGTTCAGGGCACCTGGCAGGTAGCAGGTGTGATTGTGCAAGGTATACAAGACTGATAGTTCCGGAAGCCTTATGGCCCCTTGTGTGATGTATCATTTACTGACCTCCGTATATGTGTGTAAATCAGCCGTGTCATCATAGTTACCCAACCAACCAATGTAACCACTTGATATCGCAGGACCCCTTCTGGACATTTTGCATGGCCCAGTGGTCTGAGATGAAAATGACAGAGTCACTTGATTTCGAAAACCTTGCAAGACGGGCCGCAAAGAAGTTTTTGAAGGAGAAGCTCAAACTCAAGCCCTTCTAAATCATGACTGAGTCATGATTGATCGTGACGCATGATATGGGCTTCGATGGGCTGTTCAGGCCACGCTTCACTTTTGATAGTGGGTCGATAGCTTAGCTTCTCAGCTTTTTTCTTGGGGTTAAAATTTCTGTTATGGGGGGGCCACTGTGGATGTGCATATATATACTTACAATCGCAAGGTTCAGTAGTCAGGAAGATTCAAGGCATGATGTGGGTATGTGCAAGTGCAAAGCTTCATTTGCAGCTCGACTTGCATACTGTACTGTGCATGTATGCATAGACATGTATGCCGGTCTGAGTTTTCTGTTCTTTCAGCATACACTATAGGTGTGTCTGTGTGTGTGTCTGTAAGAAACCGCAACCGTCCTACAGATCGATTTCGATACATTGACCGAATCCCTAGCTAAACATACAGTCGCTTGTTTCTATGTGTTCTTGGCAAGTCAATTATAGTGTATGTGTGTGTATGTATGTACCTATGTATGTCTATATGCATGTATGCATGTCGGTAGGTATGTGTGTATGTGTGCATGTATGTATGTGTGCATGAATCTGTGTGTTTGTGTACTGTATGTATGCCCGCGGCTGCATGTGCTTGTATGTATGCATGTATGTATGTATGTGTGTATGTATGTATGTATGTATGCATGCATGTATGTGTATATATATATATATATGTACATATGTATGCAGGTATGTATGTATGTATGTATGCATGCATGTATGTATGCATGCATGTATGTATGTATGTATGTATGTATGTATGTAACATATAGACTTGTTGATACAAAGAAAGAAACAGAGAGAGCGGGAAAGGGGGAGAGAGATTCTCGATCTAGGTGTGCCCTCTTTCATCGTTTCTCCTACACTTCGTGGTTCTGGAATAAAGCTTCTTGTGCTTTGTGACCTGTGGCCATACATAATTGCCGGAGTGCCTGGACAGCCAGATGTGGTTCGTTTCAATGCCTGGGACGATGCAAACTCTTTGGAAAGATCCGCCTGTAGCTCTGCCATGCTGCAACAGGCTGTATTGCAGGGGTAGGCAGTTCCTGGCCGGATACGCCGTTTCATTGTTTGTATAATTGTTCGGGGATATGAATGATATGTTCAATCATTCAGACGCTTCCTGTGCTGCTTGGATCCTGGCTGGGGAACAGAAGTCCTGTGTTGGGCATGCAAATCTAGCCTCTGCCAGCTGGCTTAGTATGTTGCTTCGGCTGGGTCGATCATAGATGGAGTGCTTCTGAAAGGCAGCCGGGTGAAAAGGAAATATTCTGATTGCATTCTAAGCTTCGATCCCATGTGACCATATCCGAATTTCATATGCTCTACATTGTTTCTGTGCCCAGGCCGGCATGGCGGCACGAGGCAATGCTTGGCGCCTGCGCTTACTGCCTGCTTGGGAGAATGGTCACGCTTGCGCTGCTTCGGGGTGTTTGTACAGGGGTCTGTGACTCGGCAGTTGTCTGTGCATTTGAGAGCGCATGTGGCATGAGATTGAGGTCCGATTGTCAATCCTGCTGCTTAGGTGTTTTGCCCAAACCAACACAAGGGATGCAGTTGTAGTGTGAGAACACATGGTGCTGCATATGTGCAAGGAAGTTAGCCGGACACCAGCTTTTCATACAATGCACTCTTTCCCACAGAACCATGGCCGCTTCGAAGCTTTGCTCAGACGCCTTTTGCGTTTGGATGCCCCTAAGGTGGGCTGGCTTCAATTTTTCATTCTCAAGAGTTCTTAAAGCAGTGCCAAAGAAATATGCCCACCTCCCACAACTCCAAACGCTTCCCTAACTTTATCACCTGGCTGCAGACACTGCTGGCCTGCCTCATCCTGATCTACTATGCTGACAATGTCCAAGTGAAGTTTCTCCAGGCGGGCCTGTGGTGTGCACACATGCCAAAAGGTGTTCAAGATGACAGCATTTTCAAAGTGGTGTGGGCGGATGTATGCATGGGACTTGTTGCAGCAATTCTGTTTCTCAGGCTTTCGATGCTTTGGAATTCTTTTGCGGAGCCGGCAATGTTTCAAGATGCCTTAAATATGCTGGCCATTCAGTGGGAAGCTTCGACATCAAGCTGGGAAAGCCCCTTCCTGGCAAGCAAAATGCCATGGACCTTTTATCTGATGCTGGGATGGCGAGCTTTGGTTTCATTCAGTCTGATTCACCTGAGGAATGCATATAGGTTGTGTGTGCCGCATGTGAGCCACTCCTTCAATGGTGTGTTCATGGTGTCGGTGAAAGACTTCAACGCCCCACCCCGGCCCAGGCTTGCTCTCAGTGCTGTTCTTGGCGCAGTGGAGGACAAATGCCTCGTCGTCATCGGCATTGTGTGTTCAAGTTTTGTTCTGGTGAGCAGCGGTGTGCATGGCCGCACACCCTTTTGCCCACTGGGCAACACTGACCGTTTATGTGTGAGAACGGGAAATGTTTTGGCGTCCCGGACACTCGGCTTATTGTTCTTGCACCGGTTTCACTTGATTACACATTACCACAGTCGCTGGTGTTTGGAGGGCTTTAGAAAGTTTCGCATAAGTAGCATTCATATGTGTCTTTGTCGTAGCAGATGCAGCAATCAAAGTGGTAGTATTCCTGACTTCTTGGTCCTTGGTAATGGTACAAAAAATACAATACTTGCTGTTCTAGCTTTCGATGAAGCCATCGTCCTTATGTTTGTTGCTGTTTTTTTGCAGTGCTTTTTAGAGGCTGCTTGTGTATACAACCTTCTTGGAAACCCACTGCGGCGATCGTTCACTGCTCCAGAAGCACTTGAAAATGGATGTCGTATGTGGCCCGAACTGGATGGTTACTACAATTGCAACTATCATGACTAGTGCTACTGCTACTACTACTACTACTACTACTGCTGCTACTACTACTGCTGCTGCTACTGCTACTACTACTACTACTACTACTACTTTGACTTTGGACTTTGCATCGCAGCAACGAGATCCGAAGCTATGCGTCCGGTCGACCAGAATCGCTGCTACTACTACTACTACTGCTGCTGCTGCTGCTACTACTACTGCTACGGCTACTACTACTTCTTCTACGGGCGCTAGCAGCAGGAGCATTTAGTGCAATGCAGAAGCAAAGTAGCAGTAGCATCAGTTGTTGTTGCGTGGGCAGCATAAGGAGGTAGTATTTGCGGTGAAACCGGCATGAGAGTATTGTTATAGCAGCAAGAATACCCCGCCGTAGTCGTGCTAACTTCAACAGTCGGCGAAAATGGACTACGGATTACTGTCCGTGCTCCAATTTCTCCGGCGACCTCAGGTCGAGGCCTTCCCTCAGGCTGGGCAAGTGATTGGCGCGAGCTTGAGCCCAGCTGCCTCGAGACAAAGAAGTCGTTGAACCGCAGCATTCTGTGCAGCTCAGCTGCCGGAATCCAACTTAAGATGCGTACAAGAAATGCGCAAGTCATACCTATTGCTGTGGTTTGGCAACGTGCCACGCCATGGTCTCACAATGCCGCGAAGACCAGCATCAAGCCTGATTGCATGATAATGTGAGGTTGCAGCCCCCGAAGAGAAGACAAACAACAGCGTGCAAGCATGGAAGCATGAACTAGAAGTCTTCAGTACTTGTAGCAGCATTTGAGATAGGAAGGGCTAGCAAGGCAAGTTTATGACATCTGTCCGCCGTGACATGCAGCATGCTTCAGATGGAAGGGACGTCCGTCCCTGTGCTGCCATTGACTCCGCGACCCGATGTCGTGACTTCGGCTCTGAGTTTCTGCCAGTCGCAGGTTGCAAGATGACAGGCTGCTGTGTGTGGCAAGGTGGACAAGTTGGTGCAGTTCTTGCATCTCAAAGCAGAGCAGCATCTTTCCGACAAGGTCGCCGCGTGCTCTTGCTTACCAAGCGACTCTGTCTGTGTCTCGGCTCAGGCCCAGGCATTGCTGTGGCGCTGTGCTGCCGAGGGTCGCTCTGTGCCGGAATCCTCGACCTTTGTCACGCGGATCGCAGACCCACGAGCCCAGTGGACCGAGGCATCCTTTCGGTGTCCTGGCCGCGGCAGAGGTGGCTTAGCTGTCTGTAGTCGCCGCAACCCTGCCGTCATGGCTCGTAGTTCAGATGGTTTCCTGCGAAGGTCCGACGTGCTGTTGGCAAGTTCGAGCAGTTGCAGAGGCTACGTATGCGCATAGCATTGGCTTCGAGAGTGGTGCAAGCCAGTGTTGCTCGGAAGATGCAAGGCGCGGTGAGGAGAAGCCCCAAGAGCCAGCAAGTGTGCCGGAGTCCAGTTCCATTTGTAGGAGTTAGGTTTGCCGGTGTTCTCTTGTGCAACCAGCTCCGACTGAGGGTATCTGTCAAGCCACGATCGCGCGAATCGGAGGAGGTCTGCGCAACGGTCATGTAGCCTTCCTTGCCTGTTGCCGAATATGGAGCTTCTTGAAACGTACGGCTAAGGCTTCAAACTCGAGAGATGGCCGACCCTTCAGCCTTCCTTGCGCTAGGAGTGCAAGAGTCATCTCGCAATCATCCGGGGCTTCGTTGCAAAATGCAAAGCTCAACCGCCGAACGTCGCCGCAGACACATTGCATTCGGCGAGGCCAAGTCGCCGGAAAGACCTCGGCACGTCCACAAGTCGC